CCACTGAGCTCTAATTATTTTAAGGCTTCCCTATAGCAGGCGGAAGAACTACATCCTGCAAGTCTTTTATGGAAGTGTTACTGTAAGCTTTTAACCAAAATCCATTAGAATTCTAAGGCAGGTATTATTACCCATATTCAAATACACAAGTTAAATATACTNTAGCAGGCGGAAGAACTACATCCTGCAAGTCTTTTATGGAAGTGTTACTGTAAGCTTTTAACCAAAATCCATTAGAATTCTAAGGCAGGTATTATTACCCATATTCAAATACACAAGTTAAATATACTGTTATGCAAGTCAGATTCATCAGGGATCATGAGTTCTGCTCCTTCAGAGTAACTTTTGTTTTTAAAATTTAATGAAACAGTAAGAAATTGAGGACAGACTATGTGTACATAACTAAATTCTCATTACTCTTAAAATATCCATTAGAAGGGGGCAAGTGCTATCATTAACAAGGATATTATACCTTATAATTACATGGAGTTTTTCCACCTACGGAGAGTTTCAAATATAGTGTCTTACTAGACATCTTTGCTACATTTGGACATCTTGTGAAGTGCGCCATATCCATATCCTTAGCCCTGTGACTCTCTCCTGATTCTTCTCTGGGTCCTATAATACTGTTATTTCTTTCTAGGTCCTCTCCTCTGTCCATCATTATCTGTGGGTGTGCTCCCAGGATTCCATCCTTGACACCGTTCTTATGCTCTTGTCTTGCACATTCATTTGCATATTTTTACTATCATCTCCATACTAGCTATTCCCATTACTTAATCTGTAGCCTCACTTTTGGTTCTGAGCTCTGAATTCATATTTTCAAGTATTTACCTGATGGGCATGTGAATATGTTTGGATGTAGCAGTTTTTTCAAATTCACAACTCTAGTCTTTAAAGACGGGTTTTCTTTCCTACTGTGTGCCCCCTTCCTCACTGAGCTCCATCCACACTGACCTGGTGGTTGTCCAGCAGAAAGCCAACTGCTGCTTCAGCACCCTTACATTTGCTCTTCAGTAAATTAAGTACTGCGAACACTTCCCCTAGGTATCCTGACGACTCATTCAGAACTCTGCTTGAACGTCACCTCTTAAGAGAGGCTTTCCTTAACCATTCTAATACTGCAGTACCCCTTCACTCCCTTTTCCATACTTTCTTCATCGTACTCGTTACCAACTGATGTTATACAGATCTTTATTGTCCATCGCCCTTCCACACCACCCCTTGAGAATATAAGTTCAATAAGGGCAGTCTTCATCTCATTCAGTCTTAGCACATCAGCTGGTGCTCAACACATTTTTGTTAAATGATTTAGTTACCTTGTAATCTTCATACCTACCCCAGATTTCTCTTCTTCGTGTGTTCTGGTTCCATTCATTGCATATTCGTCCATCCAACAAATCACTTACCTCAGGAATCTGGATTTCATAGGTCCTGACTCATCTTAAGTGACGCATGGAGATGTTTGATAGTGTACCTGGAACCAGGACTGCAGCAAGGGGACAGATGGAGCCTCCTGCCTTTTGTTATTCAGGCTCTGTCTGGTTCTGGGAAGACCCTCACATTCACATGTGTGGCTACCCAACCTGCAGGTCCAAGCTCTGTCCATCCTCTCAAACCTAGGCATATGGGTACACACCTGCAGCTTGGTTTGCCCTCAGGAGAACAAACCTGGAAAAGAGGCTCGGAGATGGGCTGTTTGGGCAAAGAATTCCAAGGTTCTGGAAATTTGGAGTTTGTGATCTGGAAGGGGAAGGGGAGGTTTGGATGGGCACATCCCCTTGGTCCCGTGGGGAAAGGTGCAACTGGATGAGGGCCAGATCAGGGCCTTTTAAAGAGCAGGACAGACATGGCCGTGTTGCCCTGGCCTAATGGATGCATTTGGCTGGGCTAAAACCCAAACTCCAGTAGACTGGATGTAACTAAACAAGAGTGAAGTCTAGAAAGTGTGCTTCTTCCTTCACTTGCTAAAACTCAGATTTAAGTTCTATGATTCAAGAGTCATCAATGGGGAGATTTAGGAAAGAGAAGCTTGGGTACAAATCCTATTAGAAAATGGAACCTCATCAAAATTGAAAACACTGGTTTTTTGAAAGATACCCTTAAGAGAAAGAAAAGACTAGCCAAAGACTCGGAGAAATACTTGCAAATCATTTATCTGATAAGGGTTTGTATCCAAAATATATAAAGAACTCTCAAAATTCAATAAAAACAAAGAATCCAAAGCTTGCATTCAATTCACAAAGGAATCTGGATTGCCCCCTCCCCACCCCCAAATATTAACCACCACTGGTTTATGTGCTCAGCTTGGAGAATTTGGAAGTTGACCGAATGCCAAACCTAGAAAAAGGAGCTTAGAATCCTACCCAAGCTCCCTGTATTGAGAGCCTGCCTTGCAGCATGTCTCCAAAGTTGCCATAGAAAGAGTTTTATTCTTGAATAACCTTCCAAAGATGGTAATGATTCAAGTACAGGAGCCATCAGGGAAGGTCTTTATCCTAGTTTTAGCTTAGAGATTGAGGGTGACAATGGTGTCTTAATGGGTCATACTGCTTCTGGGGGCCTTCTTTCTCTGACATATGACCCCACCAGGTATGCAATGACAGAACTTCTAGTTGTTGTTTTCTTTTATGACTAGCTTGGGTGGTGACAAATTAGAACTGAGGTCAAGGTCACCAGCCCTGCTGAGGGGAAATGAAGTTTATACATATTCTCCTCTCATTTATCCAGTCAATATTTGCTGCGTGCCTTCTCAAAGTCGAACATTTACTAGAGGCTGAAGATACAATGGTGAGCAAGACACAGTGACTTCTTTAGGGATATTAAAATCTAATGGGAGAGACCAAAAAATAAACAAGAATAACATTTTACTGGGATAAACCCAGTGAACACCGAAAAGGAACACCTGATCCAATCTTGTGGGATTGGGAAAGGTTTCCTAGAACCAGTTAGGTTTGGGACCTGAAGGATGAGGAGGAGTTGGCCAGAAGACTGGAGGGAGAGATGAGACTTGGAGAGTGTTGCAAGTGCAGGGCACATACAAAGAACGAAAGCTGAGGAGGGTGGCAGAGGCCACATCCTGGATGATCTCCTAACTCACACTCCACAACTTTCCCTGTACGCTGCCAGCAATGGAAGCTTGAGGTTTTACGAAGGTGGCAAGAAGGGATTTGCCCTTCAGAAAAATTATTCTAGCTGCAGCAAGGAAGAACAGGGAGAAGGCGGTTGAAAATAGAAGAGGAGACTCATTAAGATGTTTCATTAAGCAAGGTATGATATATGGACTGGTGATTGTCTGAATAATTGCAGCTAATATTTTGAGCCCCGTTGTCTCATTTAATCTTTGCAACTCAGTGTGGTAGATATAATTACCCCGTGTTATGGATGGGGAATCCAAGGAACAGCAAAGCTAATTAACTGGCCCAGGTCACATGGTCAATAGTGGTAGTAAAGAAAGTGGGCAGATTTGAGAAATATTTAGGGAGTGGAATGGTCATGACTGAATGACTAATTATTCAGCTAATACTCATTATTGATTTTGGGGAGGGTGGCTAAAGGAGCAGAAGTTGTCAAGTATGATATGCAAGTTTCTACCTTGGATAACTAGGTAATGACTGAATTAAGAAATGCAGGAGAAACAGCGTGGCGTGGTGGAAGAAAGTGCTAAATTTGGTTTGGGGTTGGATTTTAAGATGTGTGGGAATAAATCTAAGTGGAGATGTCTACAGGCAGCTACCTGCAGGGGCTGGTGTGAAACTCAAAGTGAGATTTTGATGTCATCAGCCTCATCTCTCCCAGATGGAAAAACAAAACCACCTTTGGAGAAGCTGAAAATGACAATTGAACATGAAGCATTGAGGAAAACAGATAATACAATGGGATTAACTACCAAATAACTTTAGGTCATTACAGGGTACTTTTCTTCTATTACTTTTTACTCAATTGTTTTTCACTAATGACCTTTTATTTTGCAGTCTCCTGTAAATAAGCAGGCCCAGGCTATTCCACAGCAGAGGTAGGTATCTAACCAATGCTTCAGTCCGTTTCTCCCAGAGCACAGGCACTCCTTTTCGAACTCTTAACTTTTGAAACACTAGGGAACCATTTAACCAATTATCATTTCAGTGCGCTCAGTGGGGTCCTAATGGCCTGGAAGCACAGGCCTAACCAAAGCTAGTCTTTTAGAGAACATATCAAACAGAAGGACATCTGCGTCTATTATAATACTGGTGAAGTATTAACATATCAAATACTCTTGAGAGCGGAGGCTCCAGGTGAACCAGCATTTGCCTTTAACTTTCCTTCCAAGAGATAATGCTGACCATGTAGAAAGGAGAAACGGGGATTTTTTAAATGTTTTGATAAAATCTCTTTCCTTTACCAACTCTTGACTATAAAGTTTTCCTTCCATATTTGTATTTTTCCCCAATTTAAAACACTTCCACTTCCCACCTCTGCCTAGATTGGCTGGCTCTCCATTTAAAAAATGGTTTCATAAGAATTACTTGTAAGTAACTTGGAAATTGTGGCCACAACCTGGTAAACCATAATCACTGCCCTAGGCAAACTGTGCAACTGTGTGATGAATAGAGAGCTTTTGACTGTTTCTAAGAGGTATTTCTGTTCTGGGAGCCCAATAATATTAATAGTGCTTTAGTGTCCCTTCAGAAATACACAAAAAGATCTTAAAGCAACAAGGCCTCCTCTCATTTTTCCTTTTGTATTTATTTGTTTGTTTGTAACTTCTTTTTCCTAATGGAAAGAAATGAGAAAATATACTAATACCAAATATTTCCATGGTGCATTGCCACCAGTCTAATCTTCATAGGAAACTGTCCAGTTTTTGCATCTTCCCCAAATATGGCAATATACAGAGGGCTCACCAATGTGTACAATGTACTCAAAAATCTCCACAAGAACATGTGCACAAATGCATCAATGTAGATAAGTCTGCCCAATTTTAATGAATGAATCAGTGCTGGATTACTAAAATAATGCAGTTTTTCGATTTTACAAATTATGCTTTTAATTATAGAATATTGTTAGAATACAGATGTAGATAGACACTAGGGTAACTGTGACCAATACCGTTAAGAATAACTGCTCTACATACTTACTGGTTCACTCACTCTCCACAACCATAGAAAACAGGCACAAAGTGTTCAGGGTGTGCGCAGAAGCAGCTGGAGATGGCAGCGGAAGCCATGCAAAAAGCATCAGCAAAGAGAGTCAGATGCTTAACTTCTACACAAAGTTCAACACAGCAAATGGGCAGCAAACTGGCAGAGAGAGAGGAGACAGAGCTGTCTGGCCCTTGCCCTTTCAACTTCCCATGTGGAGTGTACATGTATGGAGAACTGGCTGGGGCACTTAGAAGCCTTTTCTTGGGCCCCTCAACTCTAAAAAGCCAAAAGCAGCAGCAGGGAGAGCCTGGGGTGGGCCAGGAGAGCAGGGAAGGAGAGCAGGGTGAAATACACTTATGTCATGGAAATGCTGTCTTCTACGGCCACTGGAAAGCTGATGCCTAGAGTGGCTCACAGAAACAACAGAACTTTGATATATATTAAAACCATCAGCAGCACTGATATAGGAAAAGACATATTCGAGTTTAGTCATCAAGAACATGTAAGTCATTCAACAATGAAATAGGAAACCTACAGCTGGCTAGATTTCATATTGAAAAACATGCTTCCTGCCCAAGTGTTTTTAAACAGGAGTGGCAACATAGCGAAACCTCCCTGACGGAGCAGTTTTTCATTTTGTTACTTTCAAGGTTGTGTCATTGCAAGGGATGCAGTCCCACACAGCTGTGGGTCACAATAACCCACTGTAGTATACTCCCCAAGAGAGACCACTGGCCCCTTTAACACCAACTCCCAAAGAGCTATGGCAAAAGTATTTTTCAAATGTTACAACACTCACAATAAAGCACAGTAGAAATAGCTTGGGGCACTCTCAAAAAAGTACAGTCCTTATTCTAGTCCCATCTCCTGGGCATTAATTCCCTCACACTTCCATCCCCAAATGCTTGGATAAGCATCATCATTTGGGATATTTAATGTCTATTTGGGCTGAGATAAGGAGAACTAATGGACTTAAATTGGTCAACTCTTATTTTAACCACTTAATATCTGTAGGCTGGAAAGATGGGAATACATTCCTACCTAGGATTATTAATTTCTTGTAACTAGGCCAAAGAGAAGACAGTTCAGTCTGAGAACAGATCAACCAATTTGTTCAGTCATTATCTCCCAAAACTGGCTGATACATATAAACAAGTGCTTAGTTCTGTACAAAGACAGATCTTACAGGAGAGTGCACACCAGAGCACTAGACTTTATGGGTATTTTTTTCATAATGAAGACAAAAGGACATTTCTTGCATTGGAGTTATGTCTGTAGTTCTGTCACATGATCAGTATCACCCAAGAACATGCTAATTCTTTGTGAATTCAGTTTCTGCTATTGGAAAAACCACAGGAATACACGTTTTACTATATATACACACATGCCCTTATACAAGCCAAGATAAACACTGGGATGTGGCCCTTATCAAATCCTAGAATTAGTAGTATAGGGAGAATTGATCTTAAAGGGTAGAGGGGAAAGAACACAAAAATGACCTGTGTTCCTTGGGAAGGGACTCTGTGCTTCCTTCCCTCAAGTGGTCAATTCCACTTGCTCCTTATACTCCACCATCGCCTATGGTCCTATATTTCCTTGAAGGTATTTTCCCTACAATGATCCCCAAAGAAAAGTAATAAATTCTGATTAATGGCAATAATAACAGTGGGCATCTCTTGCTAAAGTCACCACCATTGATGATCCTTGGTCCCCAAAACTGTGTCTCATTTTTCCTTTTGATTGGTTTCTTCAGTTAGCTTTCACATAGGTGCAAGCTTTAAAAAAGTCAATTAGAAACAATGAGAAAAGTTATGATCATTGCCTTCATGGTGCAGAAACCTGCTGTCAGGAAGACGGATACAAACGCATGAGCAACTCAAGGAAAAAGCCCTTTGAAGGGGAAGTTGTGTGTGCCCAACTACTATGGTGAGTGAGTAGGTGTGGCAATTCAGGCAGTCTCTGACTGGCTGTTTCCAAAGCAGATGTGACCATCCTATTACGGTCCAACATTTCCCCTAGCATAGTTTTTTGGGCCAAGGATGGGAGAAATAGCTTTTAAAGATTTACTCCATTTCCAGGCCTAAGCATTTATCCCCCTGGTCTTCAGATTTCTAATTACTGTCCTTGTGGGGATTATGATGATGAATTAATTCCTTAATTAAGTGAATAGAAGTAACTGTTTCGGAGGAGCAGCCAACATTCCCAAAGTCATGGGTCACATTTTCAAATGACTTGTCTTCTTTAATGTTTTAAACTGTGGCCCACAACAAGGAAATTCAGTACGTTAAAAGCAGCTCAGTCTTGAGGGAGTTCTTTGATAGCAAATGAATGTGTACCTTCATACAAATCATTTTCAAGTCATCCTTACATGACTTAGTCAGTGTGAACCCTCTTATGTTTAATAAGGGCTGAGCTCCGGCTGAAACTCTTCTCACATTCGGTACATTCGTAAGGCTTCTCTCCCGTATGAACTCTTTGATGTGTGATGAGGTTGGAGCTCTGAGTGAAACCTTTTCCACACTGCACACACTCATAGGGCTTTTCTCCTGTGTGGGTTCTCTGGTGTTTAATGAGATCTGACCGTTCACCAAAGCTTCGCCAACACTCGTTGCACTCATAGGGTTTCTCTCCAGTGTGAATTTTCTGGTGTGTGATCAGATGAGAGCTCCGGCTGAAGCTTTTCCCACAAGCATTACATTCATATGGCTTTTCCCCAGTGTGGGTTCTCTGGTGCTGAACCAAGTGTGAGATGCGGCTGAAATTCTCCCCGCATTCATTACAGTGATAAGGCTTTTCTCCTGTGTGGGCTCTGCGGTGGCGCACAAGGTCAGAGTTCTGACTGAAATTCTTCCCACACTCATCACACTTGTAGGGCCTCTCCCCTGTGTGGACTCTGTAGTGTTTGATGAGATCAGATCTCTCACTGAAGCCTCGCCCACATTCATTACATTCATAAGGCTTCTCGCCTGTGTGGGTCCTCTGGTGCTGAGCTAGGTGAGAGCTCCGGCTGAAGCTTTTCCCACATTCTTCACACTCATAGGGTTTCTCCCCACTATGGGTCCTTTGGTGCTGAATTAGGTGAGAAAGCCGGCAGAAACTTTTCCCACACTCATTACACTTGTGGGGCTTTTCTCCAGTGTGGATTGTCTGATGCTGAATGAGGTGGGAACTTCTTCCAAAACTTTTCCCACACTCATTACAGTCATAGGGCCTCTCCCCAGTGTGTGTTCTTTGATGTTGAATAAGATGTGAGCTCCGACTGAAGCCCTTTCCACATTCATAACATTTATAGGGTCTATCTCCAGTATGGGTTTTCTGATGTCGATTAAGATCTGAGATCTGACTGAAGGCTTTTCCGCAGTGAGAACATATATGATATTGGATACCTGTGTGGACTTCTTTGTGGACAAGCAGATCGGTGACTTGTTGGAGAGGATAGCTTACCCACTCTTCTGCTGTTAAATCTCCCCACTGTCTTTCCGATCTATCCCTGCTTTCAAAGGCCTCTTCAGTTTCAGGATTTTCCTCAGTATTCGCAACAGGTCTTTCGGATGTGGTCCCAAATTCTACATCTTCCCTAATCTCTTGTTTTGGATTCACCTCGTTCTCATTTCTGATCTCAAAATCTGTAATAAAAGGTAAAAATTAAAATAATACCGGTAAATGCACCACAAAAATTACCTGCTGTGTGCCAGGCATTATGCTAAGTTCTTCACATGAATTACCTCAAAACCCTGTGAGTCAGGCATTATGATGATCTCCACTTTATGAATGAGAAATCCAAGACTCAGATAAATGACTTGCAAAAGATCACATGGTAGTAAATGATGGAGCCTGGATTCAAATCTAGGTCTGATAAAAATCCATGCTGATACTAGTTAATGGTTCCTAATGTACACTGTATATATTCCAGTGTTTCAAAAGAAGAAACCAACTAGAAATGTAAAATATAAGTGACTCTAAATTAGAACCTCTAAATGCCAAGAGCCTATTTTATGTGTGAATGTGTGTGTATGTGTGTGTGTGTGTGTGTGTGTGTGTTCTTAACTTCATCATCACCATTACATAATACTTACTAAGAACATACTGGGTTAGCATGGAGGAAAAACTATTTTTATCTATCTATAGCAAGTATTAGTCTACAGGAAAAGTGACTGACAAACGTTAACTTGCTACTCTCCAGCTGGCCTTTTAATGAGAACAGGGGTGGGAAGGTTGGAGAAGACAAAAAAAAAATGCCTGGCTCAGAACATTCCTGGCAGTGACTAAGTACAATCTTCAAATGAAAATCAAAATATACAACCACTGTCTACAAGAAACTTTCTACCAGACACTGTATTTCCCAAGTTACATTTCTTAGTATACACTCCAGAGTATTAAGAGTATTAGTATAAGAGGTTAGTAGGTATGCTGAGAAAAAAAGATCCATGGATAAATTAGTTTAGTGAATGGTGCATATAACATCCTCTTTTAGAAATTTACATATCTGGCAACACATTAAAAGTCCTGAGAGTCTCAAGGTAGAGAATTCTTGTAAACATTATTTAAGTCTCTCCCAACTTATTTGGGAGAGAAACTTTTTTTTCTTTTGGTGCTTCCATGTACCTTTCTAACAAGTACTCCCTGGGTTGGACCATAGACATATAAATTCACATTTCTTTAAGATTCTCATTTCTTATATTTGTTGTATTGAGTGCAATATATGAGTTAAAGACAGCAATGCATTTGTGTAGATAACTTCATTTCTAGATGCTTTTCTAAAGGAAGGTTCCAAGAAACTTGGGACATCAGAGAGAGCCCAAATTAAAAAGGAAATCCCTCACTGTCACCTTCTGTTCTGGAAAAAACTGTAGTGATAATGATTTCAAAACCAGAATCAGTCCTAACAGGTGGCAGGTGATGTAGTGAACCACACATGGTTGCTAACGTCCATCATGTCTTAATAGGAGACAAAGTGAGTCAAAAGACTTTTCAGCTCAAGAATAATACTCTTTATTCTAGTTATACCCACACCAAACATTAGCCAAAAGAAAAGACAGGGTTGCAGACCATCAAAGAAATGGTCTTCCATCTCTAATAGAATATCTGATCTAATTTAGTTCAAGACTCTCCTGGAACACTATTTGACACAATCAAAATCTATGATCAACACTGAAACATCTCTGTAAGTACCGACTCCAGATCAACAAAGGACCTAAGGCAAAGCTGGGGCTCTGAAACCAAAACGAACACAAAAAGGTAGCTTTTGCTCTCCCATGAACCTGGGTCAGAACCCCCTGATCTTCTAGTAAAAGCACCACTTCCAGGGGCATTTATCCTGGCAAGCACCATTATGTCAGACCTGTTTGGTCAGTGATCTGTACAAACAGGCTGGGGAACGGCAAATGACTCAGGGCACAAGAAATCTGAACATTTCTGAAGTGTACAGAAACATTCTTTCTTTTTAGATAATAGACCTTGATGTTCCCACAATCAAATTTGCCCGAGGTTTCAACTCAAACCATTATCCAATTAAGCACTTTAAAATCAAACAACTAAGTTGTGTTGAAAGAGCTAAGCAATATTTGACGGTCTCAAAAACACGGGGTGAAGAAAGGTAGAGAATCTTTACATACCCAGTGAGACAACATTCCCATAATTCTCCTGCATAACATCCCTGTAAAGGTCCCTTTGTGTAGGGTCCAGGGGTCTCCATTCTTCACGAGTGAGGTACATGGCCATATCTTCAAATGTCACAGGTGCCTGCAATCACACAATGCTTCCTCATTACTTGGCATCTACTTGGCATCTATCAGTTTTTCTTCTTCAAATTAGACATATGGCTAGAATTGTTGAGGAGGCAAAGGGTATTAAGTCCGATCTGCAGAGTCCAAGAAGAAATAAACAAGCAATAAAGGAGATGTGGTAAAGAAGGCAGCAAAATATCAGCTGATTGCTCTGGTCCCAAGGCCAGACATCCCTGCCCCAGTCTAGAACCTTATCCTCTAGCTATACTTTTCTTAGAACACATCTAGCACCTACATTGCTTCACACCTTTCCTCACAATGTTCGTCTTTTCCTGGAATATCTTTCTCAGACTACTGAAATCCTACTATTCTTTCGGTACCGATTGTTCTTCAGAGCCCCCACTCCCCCCATTCCTCTGCTCTGCTTCACTCCTCCCTCGGACCCCTGAGATAGAATTAATAACTCCCACTTTTTGGTTCCCACACCACAGCACTGTTCCTAAAGACAAACTCTTTATCACGTTGTATCACGGTTATCAGCATGCGTCTGTCTCCCTACAGATTGTGAGCAGGTGGGGAGCGCCCGTTTCATCCATCTCTTGTCTCCCTAGTATTTAAAGGCATACAGCAGGTGTTCAATAAATGCTTGCTTGTGACTACACTGGCCTGGCACTGGGTTCCTGAAGGCAGAACACGGAGCCGAGGCAATTACTAATCCTCGGGAACATCCTACAGGCATTCTGCAGAGCAAAGGAACGCCGGGACGAGAAGGGTTAGAAGAGGCAGGGTCCGAGAAGCCACCCCCGGCTTACCTGGGACCCAGCCATGAGCAGGGTGGCTGCCATCTCGGGCTCAGGGATTCGCCTCCCAGGAGAGGGAGCAGGAAAAGCAGCTAGCATACAGCGCTAAAGGAGGCGAAAAGCAGGGCGTGAGGACAGAAAACAGGCCCTGCCCACTCCCCAGGGCTGGAGTTCTGGCCGCCAGGCCGGTGGGGAGGGCCCTGAACCCGGGCCGGGTCACTCGCCTCCCTGACCCGCGAACGCAACCCGCTCTGTGTCTCCGCCACCACAGGCTACAGGCAATGCCGGAATTTATTAAGACAGCCCCCAGGCCCTGTCGCTCCTGGGGGTCAAGACGATGCTGTCTCAGGGAGGAGGCTCCCAGCCCAGCCCACAGAACGCCTCCGCTCTTCCATCTCGAGGCTGGGCCCTTTCCGGCAGCTACCTTAGCCAATCAGAGAGCGGAGCTCGCAAGACGCTCTGCAAATTAGATGCCGAACACTAGGCCCACCTCTCGTAGCGTGGCTGAGCCCCTCTGCCACGCCTGCGCTTGCCCCAGTCGCCTGCCGGGAGTTGGAGTTCCGTTCCGGCGTACAAAGGCCAGTCAGACGCCAAAAGCCAAGGAGGGAAGAGAACAAAAGGGTGAAAAAAGAAGCGCGTCCTCCTAGCAAGAGAGGAGTATCTTCCGCTTTCTTCTCTTGGCGACCACAACTCGATTAACCCAGGGAAGTTGTCCTGCTCCTCATGTCCCTAGAAGCTTGAGTCGGCCCGTAACTTCGACGTTGCGCCTAATGCAGGCGCTGGGCTGTGTTGGGTTCCGGCGGGATTAGCCCTCACTTGACAGCTGGGTCTGAGAGGAAAGGGGCAGCCGCCCACTCCCCAGGGGAGACTCGGCCGCCGCGCTGGAACTTTGAGCTCCGCCCACGCACTACATTTCCCAGCAGCGCCTGCGGTTTTACAACCCCGCTGTGCAGACTACAACTCCCAGGAAGCTCCGCGCCGCCTGTGGGCTTGCGGCTGCGGTCCGCGGCTTGGTCAGGTGGCGTCGGGGCTCTCCATCGGTATTAACCCTATAGGTGCGTCCATCCACATCCTTCTAAAGAGGGCGCTCTTTGAGGGGCAGGCTGTGTTGCGCCCAACGTTAGGAAAACGAAAACGCCGAGGGAATTCAGAAGCAAGGGTGGGGGTTCGGGCGCGAGAGGTGGAGCGAGCCAGGCCCCAAGACTGGGAAGAGCCCTCGTTATCCCTGAGGGCTTGTCTGCTAGAAGGGTTTTTGACGGCCTACCGCACCGATCCAGGGGCCTCTAAGGGCCTGAGTCTGGCGGGCCCTCAGAATGTTAGCAGCCCCTGACCGCCTCGAAGGTAGGAAGCCGAAAACCTGAGTTGGAAACAAACAGACTTACCTCCGGGCCCGCAAAAGATCCACTAGATCGCTGGCTCCAAGATCCGAGAGGCCTAAAACAGATTCCAAATCCTCGGACTTCAGGCGTTCAGAAAGAGTCCAGAGATCACTGACAGATCCCGGATACCTGAGACCCGCAGGTAGACCTAGAATCCGTAGGCTTGCAGGCAAAGCCCAGAGCTCACAGGCGGATCCCAAAGACTAACAAATTCCTGAGACTCTCCGGCAGCTCAGAGAAACCACAGGCTCATAGGCAGGTCCCTGAGACCACAGCAGCTAAGCCAAGAAACACCACCACCAGCAGCTAAACTGCATTCAACTGGAGTTCTTCCGAACGGAAGGACTTGCAGCCTTCCCTTTCCCCCGCCAGGATGGGAAAATTAGACAATGGAAGCGAGCACTAGGGAAAGCAGGCATTCTGCGTGGGGAAGAGCTCTGAGCTCGCTGTAGCCTTGGAGAGGGAAGTGATGGAAAAAGAATATAGCAGCTTATTAGGGACTCCCACCCTCTTGAAGTTATAAATATCCCCAGAACCTTGGCTACGTGCCCAGAAGCCTGTTGTCTCTAACTTTACAGGAGACTTCTCTGCCTGGGCTGGGAAAGGGGCTTTTCTTTTGTTTTGCAGATATATCCACCCACTGAGTGACTTGAATTTTTGTTTTTTCGAACATGACTCCAGGCTATGCTTTTATTAGTGAGTGTCCTTCTCAGCGCCCAGTTATTTATGGCTAAATTACTCAAGTGGTTAGAAAGAACTAGGACCCTACCCAGCCAAGAGGCAGACTCTCCCACTCCCACTCCCACCCCCATCTGTGAGGCTAGGAATTCTTTAAGTACTACAGAATTGTACCATCCTACCCCATCTAAAATGGATATGGGTACCACAAAAAATGAAAGGGGCAGTGTCCCTAGTGGGAAGAGTGGGCATCAAAGTCAAACCTGGATTGGAATCCAGTCTGTGTATCTTTGAAAAGTCGTTTAATCTCTCCAGGCCCATTCCATTTCTGTAAAATGTAATCATGCCTAAGGCGGTGGTGAGCAGTAGGTGAGATGACTTACAGCACTCCGCACAGAACGAGCACTCAAGCGATTATTCATCCTGCCCTTGGTGGCAGGGGAGACTTCAGAAAGGCCTGTGCGTATTTTCACTGGCTCAGAAAATCTGAAAGGTCAGAGTGGCTCCATAGTTGTAAGGATCTGCTGGTGACCTTAACCTCACATAGCGCTTCTGCTGGAAACCCAGAGGGAACGGGAAGTCGGGCCAGTTTGGTGGGTTTAAGCGAATTGGCGTACTAAGCCCAGTAGAGCGGAGGTATTTGGGACTGCCAGAAACCCAGCAAGTTGAGGCCTCCCGCTTAGGGAAGCCCCTGGGACGAGGAGGGGGATGGGTTCAGGCTTTGGCTGGGTAATTTTGCAGGTGTCTAACCGGGCCTGAGGAGAGGTGAGCGCCTGAGCGCCTCAGCCCAGCGGGGCTCCCTTTTCATTCCTCCTCTGACACATTGCTTTGTAAACTTTCGGAGGCCTTTTCTCCCCCTTGCTCCACTGCTCTAAGACCTTCTTTGTCCTCCCGTTGTTTCTTTTATTCCTCAAGGCTGCCTGGGGGCAGGACGACTCTCCAAGCCCAGCTTGGCCGCTTGCCTCCTCGTGGGAGTAAGTGCTTTTCTCTTTCTTCACCTGGGACCCTCCAGAGGGTGCAGGAGAAGAGAGGCTGAGAGCAGATGGAAAGCCTGACTGCATGTGGTGCCCCTGGTGGGAGTGAGGTAGGGAACGAGGCGGAGGAAAGACAGTGGGTGAGGGGCTTCCTGTTGCAGCTCTCAGCTGGACTCCGAGGGTTGGGGTCACTGGAGGAGGTGGCTTCCTGCCTCATTGTTCAAGACTTCATTGTTTCCCAGGAATACTTACCCTAAGTGGGTTTTCAATAACCAACTTGGAAAGCTGCCTTTGTTCCCATCATTCAGCAAACAATGAGCACCCACTGTGTGCAGAGGCAGCAGCACAGCCTTATCACTGGGGAAAAGGGCCAGGAGAACCATTTGGGCAGGGTCTCCAAGACATTATGGGATTATTTATTAGATCCACTGATCAATTTGATCAAAGACCTGCTTTATGTATCTTTCAGCTTGTTTCTTATTAACAGACCACTGTGCCTATGGCGCACTTAAATTATTATATTTTAATAAATCTTACAATTATCTTGTGAGCAGCATAATTGTGATATGATTTTTTTGTATTAGAAGCATTTACTTGTTAAACATGGAAAGATACCCATCAATATTTGTGATCTGTGTCATTTCTTCATTTTCAAGTATACAAAAAAATCAAAGTGACCCATACTTCTCTTGACCCCCACTAGGATCAGATGAAACCTCATCACAAGCACAAGGAGCTGAGGACATGGGGGACACACTGACTTGCAAACTGTCATTGCAGTCCGACTGCTATAGTGTATGGATGAGCAAGTCTGTGCCAAGGAGGGGCAGGCTCATCGCTGGTGGGGGGTGTAGGGGAGAGGGTGTCACAGAGGAGGTGACATCTGAGCTGGCTTGCAAAGACTGTAGGAGTCTTGGAGGTAGAGAAGAGGGAAGGAAAGCATTCCAGTCTTCAAGGACAGCATGTGCGAAGTCACAGAGGCGTGAAAGGACAGAGCTTGTTCCCGAATGGTCAGGCTTGGATATGGTTAGATGGAAGAGTGTGGGGGTGGAGCAGCAGGGGGAGGAAGCAGAGCACGGACAGTCTCTTATGTCGCCTTGCTTGGCTGTTTATCTCTGTCTTTGGCTGTGGATCAGCAAAGCCAGTGATGAGGTGCAGATAGGGACTGGCCTGGGGTGAGAAGAGCAGATTGACTCTGCAGGACAAAGAGGGGAGTGGAGAGAATTGGGAAGCTCTTTATGACCTCATGCATTTCGGCTGGTTTTCTCCTGAGAGTGTCAACATTTCCAAAAAATGTAACAAATGCATTAAAAATGTACAACCAACGTTTTAGTATTGTTAGCCTACTTAAAGGCATCACATAGGCCTTTATTCACCAAACATGTTTACTGCATCTCTATTCTATACCAGACACTGTGCTGGGAGATAGGACACCACCCCTCACAGTGACTGCAGGGCTGCTGTGAGGAAGAAATGTGAGAATGGCTGCAAAACACATGGGCACAGAGGAGGGCCTTGGCACACTGTGGCCACCAATGCTATGGGGGAGGTAAAAGGCATCACAGATGCTCTGTGAGCTGAAGTTGTACTTCAGAGTGGCTCAGAGCGTGAACAGAGGCCTGGGTTCCAATTCTGTGTCCTAGAAGCAGATTATTCTCTGAACCTTGGTTTTCTGAACCTGAACCTCTGTAGCTGTTAAATAACAATTTTATTAGTATGTTAATAAATTTAACACAATAAAATTCATAGAGACAGGAGCATAGTGCTTGCCAGGGGCTGGGGGAAGGGGAATTGTTATTTAACAGTTACAGAGGTTCAGTTTTGCAAGACAAAAAGTGTTCTGGAGACTGGCTGGCTGACAGTGTGAATGGACTTAACACTACCATTCAGTCCATCACACTTAAAAATGGTGAAGATGGTAAATTTTACCTATATTTTACCACAATTTTTTAAAAAGTATATAATAGCAATAAACCTAGTTCAGTTGGTCTGAGGATTAGTTGAGACAATATAAAGTACTCCCCCATATTCATAGTAATAACAGTAGTTAGCTTTTACTCACCAGGTACTTTGTGTTAGGCGTGATTCCAATGTACCCTCACAACAACCCTTTGAAGCCAGGGCTATTACCACCATTTTACAGATGAAAAACAGAGGCATGGAGAAGTTGCACAATGTGCCCAAGATACCCAGCTAGTAAATGCTCAGTAATTAATAGCTATTCTGACACTCATACAAAGAAATTACCATCATGGTGGTAGAAGGCAGTGTAATTATTAGAGTTTCACAGTGCTGTGGGAGTTCTGAGCAACCCTCTCTTGTGGCCAGGGGATTACAGAAGGCTTCATAAAAGACATGCACCTAAGGTGAGCCTTGAAGAATGGGTAAGATGTGACCAGTGTCAGGGACAGGGAATCACAAGAGGCAGTCACAGTTGGGAAGGTCCATCAGGTGTTTAAGAACCCCTTCAACTGGAGAAAAGGGGCAGCAGGAGACAGACAGAAGGCGGGTGGAGGGGAGCTTTGAAAGTCAAACCAAGGAGTTTGAGTTTTGATAGCTGGTGGAGGCAACTGAGGGAATGATGCTCAGAGCCGTGCAGGGCAGATGGAGGTAAGAGAAGGAGTGCTTTGAATTGGGGGCCTGGTAGGTGTTTGCATCAGTCCAAGAGTAAAGAAAACCTGGAAGACAATGTTGTTTGTGATGGCAGTGGAGAGAAACGGTGGATCAGGAAGAGAGAATCGGTACTGATAAAGAGGGCAAGGGGAAAGGATCAAAGATGGCTCTAAGGAAGGAGCTAGTTTATAAATATAAATGACAGAAGAGGGCATTTAAGAAAGAGAAGATGTGACTTCAGTTTCAAATGAATTGTACTGAGAGGGCCTGTGGTACTTAGCACGTATCCAGATAGGTGCTTGGGAATGCATGTTTTGAGCTCAAGAAAACTCAAGGCTAAATAAAGGTAGAGATTCAGCGATCAGCACAAAACTTCTAAAAAACACATCATGTTTCGGTTCCTGTAACCTTTTGAAAACATCTAAATTGGTTATGGGATCTTGAATGTACTTGTATATTCAAGGTCTTTGGGCCATAACATACCTGGTGAGACCCTCTCTCCTCTCTCCTAAGCATGTTGCCTCTGTTTTACCTCACCTGACCTTGTTTTTCCCCCATAAGGAAGCAATCTCCCCTCTCCTCCGAAGCCTTTCTGGCTGGCAGAAGTTAATGTCAACTCCCTTGCAGCTTGCACCCCCTTCGTCTTTTATATGAAGGAGGAGATGGCATTAAACCATGTGTTCCAGCCAACAGTGTGTGCAAAGACCATGTGACAAGGAGGAGCACAGCATGGCCAGTGTGGCTGGGGTACAAAGTGTGGGGGTGAGGCAGAGGCCACCCCTGCAGGCCTTACAGGCCCTGCCAAGCACAGTGGGAAAAAAATGGAGGGTTTTAAGTGGAGTGGTAGAGTGGGGGGCTGTAACAGGATCAGATTTCCAATTTTGAAATGCCCATTCTGGTCAGGGCAGTGGAGAGCATGAGTTGGAGGGGGCCCAGAGTGAACACAGGAAGATTGGTTGGGAGGATATTGACACCTGCTGCTGAACACAGTCTGAGGCCTGTGTCCTTTTGTGAACGTAGATGTGTACTGTATACATGTGGGAGCTGGCTTGTTCTTTTGCAGTTTAATATGACTCAGCTCCTTTGTAAACAGTGAAGTTACCGAGGGTGGAGATTCAGTTTTGTATTTTTCCCTATGCTGTAATTCCTGAGTATATTGGATATTTAGACCATGACCACTGAAAATAGCTCTAGGTACCACCTTTAAAAAGCCTCCAAATCACACTTACTGACATTATTGTACTGATAATGGCTGTTATTTTGTTCTGCTTTTGGCTTCTAGACATTTGAATGGAGGATTAGAAAATGCAGGGGAAAATCTGGATAGCTAACCCCTTAATGACTTTACGTGTGGTCGTGGACCATTAGCACCGGCATCCCCTGGGAACTTGCTAGAAAGGAAACACCTAAGGCCCCACCCCAGACCCACTGAATCAGAACCTGCATTTTAACACAATCCCCAGGGGATTCCCCCTCATACTAAAGTTTTAAAAGCACCTAGGTATATTTATACCCCAGATGTGGCATTTCTCACACTCACCTGGTGTGGAAGTCTATGCCTATGGTTTCTCTCCCTGCCAGGCCAGGAATTTCTGGAAGGTAGGGGCTGGCTCTGGATCTCTCAAAGCCTCGAGCACGGTAGCAAGAAGCAGAAGACCTGGGTTTCAGTCCTGGTTCTCCTGCTGATGAGCTCTGTGCATTGTATCTCCTGTGAAAGGAGTTTCAGTCCTCCCGGAGGACCCATCCCAAGTCCGACTGTTGAAAAGCTGAAGATGGTGGCAGATTTCTGTACACAGTTTATTGACAGACTTCACGTACAGGAGAAGGCACTTGACAGGTGGAAGGAGGAAGGCGATAGCCAATTCCAGAGTGAATGATATACCCAAGGCATACAGGGAACTTGACCTCACCTGACTCCCAGCAGCTGCCGTAAGGGTGAAGTAAGGCAGGTAGAAAACAGTGGCCTCTGCATAATCACCCTATGAGGTAGGCACTCGAACCACTCCCATATTTACCAGCAAGGAAACCACTTTGATAGGTTAAGTAACTTGTCCCAGGAGTTCACAGGCTCCCGTGCTTCAGCCATTTTAGGAAACATGGAGTCCAGAAGCTCAGTCGTCAGCCTGAAGCTGCGAGAAGGCCAGGGACAGTCAGAGACTGAGACCCAGGGCAGACCCACCAGGCTTGCTCCCAAGGCTTTTCCAGACAGTTCCAGCTGCCTAAATTTCCTAGCAGCTTAAGAAGGAAGCCAGTGTCATCATGGGAGAAGCACAAGGCCTTGCAGATATCCACTGAAGCTCCGGCCTCAGATGCAGCTGCGAAGAATGCATAACCAGGGACCGAGCAGGTTCTGAGACTCAGCACCTTCCAAAGGCCACACAACTCAGGGCACTACTGTCCTCTTTACTCAGAAAGCTTCAGCTCAAGACAATCTGTTCCCTGCCCAGAGGGACCAGTCTGGAGTACTCAAAGGTCCCCAAAGCCAGGTAGAACAGGGGGTAGCAGAGCGTTTTGGATGAGATGAGGAGTTGGGAAGAACTCTTTCTACGTGGTGTGGAAGTCATATCTGCCGGAGCCAAACTGTGCCAGCTGTTCTGCACATGTGATTCTGGGGTGGAGTGTGGTAAGATTTGTGTCAGCTTAGGATTTTTCAATTCAGAAAAGGCTAGGAGGTTTGGATGTCCAGGAAGGGACTCAAAGCAAAGGCCTGCTAGCCCACTGTCAAAGACATGACACCTCAGCTATGAGGCTCTGAAGTCTCTGAGTTTCTACAAGGGGTTTGTTAACATAAACTCTTAGCATCCTACCCCAGTTAGATTTCCCCTATTAGCCAGTTATTATTAATGACTGATTATTAATTTGTATAAGAAGTCTCCTTTTGATCCCTAATACCCACCCCATTCAGAGTTCAGCATTTTTCTTCACTTTAATTTTTATTTTTTCTCCAGTTATGATGGCTTAGTGTTTTCTCTTTGTTCTTCCTCATGTTGTTCACTGAAATCCTGGCTGGCAGTTCAATCAGCAGAACTACAAAACCAAAAAGGCAACACAGTTTTAGAGCTTTCCCTGCGTTACCCAAAGAGGCTAGGAGCAGGGGGAGGGGACATGGAAAGGTAGGGTCCGGAGCCACACAGACCAGACTCCAAACCCCAGCTCTGCCATTACTAGCTGGGTGACCGTGAACAAATCACTCACCTGTAAAAAGAGATCACAGTACCAGTCAATGAGAGAAGGATACCAGGTAACAAATCAGTGGAAATTTAATGCCAGGCATGTGGTGGACCCTCAATTCATGGTCAAAAATATCACCATGATTATTACTAATCACTTGGTTAGACTTTAGGCCTCCCACATGGCAATGGACACTACCTGTGTCAGGAGCCATCTAAGTGCAGTCTCTAGTGGGCCTTGCCTCTCTGACTAATAGGAATCAGGGAGGAGGAGCTGGGTTTGGAACAGACAGAACAGCCTTTCCCCAAGAGTAACAGTCACAAGAGCTACCATTTTCTGAGCACTTACTGTGGGAGAGGCAGTATTGATATGCAGTAGCTCATTACATCGTCATGATAACCTTACCTTACTAAATAGACACTATAGCACCCCCATTTTCACAGGTAAAAAGCAACTCTGGTTAAGCAATTTGCCCAAACTCCCATAAAACTAGTAGTTGACAAACTCAGAATAATAGAAATGGTGGTTTCTATGTGCTCAGGGCTTCTTTGTATGGTTGTACAGGTTGTTCACTACACAAGAAAGCCTGGGTGAGAAGACAAGGAACAACAAATGCTGGCAAGGATGCAGAGAAAGGGGAACCCTCCTACACTGTTGGTGGGAATGTAAATTAGTTCAGCCATTGTGGAAAGCAATATGTGGTTCCTCAAAAAACTAAAAATATAAATACCATTTGACCTGGAATTTACCTGAAGAAAACAAGAACCCTGATTCAAAAAAACCCCTATGTTTATCGCAGCACTATATACAATAGCCAAGATATGGAAGCAACCTAAGTGTCCATCAGTAGATGAATGGATAAAGAAGATGTGGGACCCATAGACCAATGAAGTAGACTAGAGAGCCCAGATATAAACCCAAGCATATATGGTCAATTAATATATGATAAAAGAGCCATGAATATACAATGGGGAAGTGACAGCCTCTTCAACAGTTCGTGTTGGCAAAACTGGACAGCTACATGCAAGAGAATGAAACTGGATTATTGTCTAACCCCATACACAAAAGTAAACTCAAAATAGATCAAAGACCTGGTTGTAAGTCATGAAATCATAAAACTCTTAGCAGAGAACATAGGCAAAAATCTCCTGAATATAAACATGGGCAACTTTTTCCTGAACGCATCTCCTTGGGCGAGAGAAACAAAAGCAAAAGTGAACAAATGGTACTACATAAAGCTAAAAAGCTTCTGTACAGCAAAGGACACCATCAACAGAACAAAAAGGCATCCTACAGTATGGGAGAATATATTTGTAAATGACATGTCCGACAAGGGGTTAACATCCAAATATGTAAAGAACTTACATGCCTCAACACCCAAAAAACAAATAACCTGATTAAAAAATGGGTGGAGGATATGAACAGGCAATTCTCCAAAGAAGAAATTCAGATGGCCAACAGGCACATGAAAAGATGCTCCACATCACTAGTCATCAGAGAAATGCAAATTAAAACCACAATGAGATATCACCTCACACCAGTAAGGATGGCCAGCATTGAAAAGACTAGGAACAACAAGTGCTGGCAAGGATGAGGAGAAAGAGAAACCCTCCTACACTGCTGGTGGGAATGTAAACTAGTTCAACCACTGTGGAAAGCAATATGGAGGTTCCTCAAAAAACTAAAAATAGAAATACCATTTGACCTGGGAATTCCACTCCTAGGAATTTTCCCAAAGAAAACAATTTCTCAGATTCAAAAAGACATATGCACCCCCTATGTTTATCGCAGCACTATTTACAACAGCCAAGATATAGAAGCAACCTAAGTGTCCATCAGTAGATGAATGGATAAAGAAGATGTGGTACATATACATAATGGAATACAATTCAGCCATAAGAAAGAAACAAATTCTGTCATTTGCAACAACATGGATGGAGCTAGAGGGTATTATGCTCAGAGAAATAAGTCACGCAGAAAAAGACAAATACTAAATGATTTCCCTCATTTGCGGAGTATAACAACGAAGCAAAACTGAAGGAACAAAACAGCAGCAGACTCACAGACTCCAAGAAGGGACTAGTGGTTACCAAAGAGGAGGGCTGGGGGAGGGCAGGTGGGGAGAGAGGGAGAAGGGGATTGAGGGGTATTATGATTAATACACATGGTGTGGAGGGGATCATGGGGAAGACAGTGCAGCACAGAGAAGACGGGTAGTGACTCTGTGGCATCTTGTACACTGATGGACAGTGACTGCAATGGGGTATGGGGGGACTCGATAATATGGGTGAATTTAGTAACCACATTGTTTTTCATGTGAAACCTTCATAAGAGTGTATATCAATGATACCTTAATAAAAAATAAAAAAAGATGTGGTACATAGACACAATGGAATACTATTCCCCCTTAAGAAGAAAACAAATCCTACCATTACCAACAATATGATTAGAGCCAGAGGGAATTATGCTCAGTGAAATAAGCCAGGTGGAGAAAGACAAGTACCAAATGATTTCATTCATTTCTGGAGTATAACAACAAAGCAAAACGGAAGGAACAAAACAGCAACACAAAGACTCCAAAAGGGACTAGCGGTTACCAAAGGGAAAGGGTTGGGGAGGGTGGGTGGGGAGAGAGGGAGAAGGGGATCAAGAGGCATTATAATTAACACACATAATATAGGCAGGTCATGAGGAAGGCAGTACAGCACAGAGAAGACAAGTAATGACTCTATAGTATCTTACTCCGCTGATGGACAGTGACTGCAGTGGGGAGCGTGCGGTAACTTGATAATATGGGTGAATGTTGAAACCACAATGTTGCTCATGTGAAATCTTCATAAGATTATATATCAATGATATCGTAATACAAAAAAGGTAAGCCTGGGCACAGGGGCCAGCTGGGGCTGAAACTCAGCCCCTGCTTTCTTTACTAAGTTCTGTACCCTTGTGCAAGGCTGTGTCTACCTGCAGGTAGGGACACCTTTTTCTAATTTAACAAAGGTACCTACCATGTGAGCTATCAGAGGCCCTGTTAATACTTTATGTGTATTACCTCCTCTAATCTTCAAAACAGCAGATGTGAACACCCCATTTTGTAGATGAAGAAATCCAGGTCTAGAGAGTTCAGATCACTTAGCAAAGTCATTTTGTTAAATGATCAAGGTAGAATTCGAACCTGATGCCAAAGCCCATGCTCTACACCACTAGGCCAGTACACTGGTCCCATCCCTAAGTGTTCAATAAGTGAATAAAGGGAAAATACGTGGTCATCTGACTTTTACCTTAAAAACATGGCAGTTCTAATGAGGCACCAAGGCTACTGAGGCCCTTAGAAAGGTGGTAGAAAACTCAACCGGTTGGGAATTGGGAGCATTGTCTTCAGGCTCCCAGCTGGGTGACTTCATGCTTGCTAAGTGTTGCAGTAGCTCAATCTCCTTGTCTGAAGGTGAGAGTGATGTTACAAGGAACATTTCTGTAGATGTTTGCGAAGTGTGTGTGCATATGTACTAACCTTCACATCAATACTGGGAAAAGGGCGTTATTACCCTTTTGCTCAGGGAATTGAGTGACATGCTCATGGTCACACAGCAGGTAGGGCACAGAGGGGAACCTAAAACCAGGGCTCCCGACCCCTAGCCCCATGCCCTAGTCTTGGGCTCCTTTCTAAGTACCTTAGACATTTTGGAGGACCTGCAGCCCTGGTGGCCCAGATGTCCCACAGGGCACATGCAGTCAGATGGTACTAGAAATTGACATTAATCACATGACCACACTGAGTCCTTTCAGAAGACAGGGTAGGAAGGAGCACTCTGGGAGGAGTCCTTGCTTGGCTCCCATGTCTTAAAACAAACCTCTCCCCTTGCAGGAGCTGGAGCAGCCTGGGTTAGAGTCTTGGGTAATGTAAGGGTTTACCAGAGCTGCCTTAGGAGGGGAGGATGACTTGGGAGCCTTTGGGGATAACCCCCCTCTAACAGGTCTCAGGCTTTCTCTCATCTCGTGGCCAGCTTCAAAGGAAATAACATCTGTGAAAGCACTCTGCAAAGAGGTGTGGTCCAAAGGCAGAGCGCTATTGTTTTTCTTGCCCTCCGTGGATCACGGGAGGCTGATTCCATCTGCGCTCAGATGACAGACTTGCCCATCCTGTGATAACATGTGGGCTGCCCCTCCACCTGACTGGGTATCTTCCAAAATGAAAACATGCACAGGTTCTCCCGCACCCCACCTCCCCGACAACAACCCACCCTCTCTCTAGCTCTGCAGACCTGCTGTCCGCAGGCTGGTAAGCATCCCACACAGAAGGCCCTTTCTTGGCTGTGGGTAACTACTCCTTATGTGGGGCAGCATCTGTGGATGCCAGGGGAGGGAGAAAGATGTAGACATACAGACCTTCCAGCGATTGCCACATTCATTGCATAAGACAAAGGTGGTCATGGGCTCATCAGCACTGCGTGTCTGCACCTGCGAGAAACAGGGGACCACTCATGAAATCACTCCCCCGCTGTGGGACCTGCCTGAGCTCCCACTAACCAGGAGTAGGTCTGAATCCTGGAGCTTGGCACCGTTATTCCCACCCCACTTTGGCAATTCCCTCACCACTAAGAACTCTGCAGTGTATCCTTTCCTCTCCTTGCACATCCTTCAGCTCATTTCCGTTATTCCTGGCTCAGCCTGGCCTCTACACGTTCTCCCTTGTGGTTAATGCCCCTGAACTGATCTCTCTTTTCTTGCCTCAAGACTCATCTCCAACAGGAAGTATTCCCTGACTCATCTCTGAACACACCCTATCAGATGTGATTCACAGAGCAGAACTTGGGTGTGCGGGATGCACCCTTAGAGATCATTGAGTTCATTCCTCAGTTTATAGATGGAAGAATTGAGGCCCAGAGAGGGAGAGGGATTGGGAGATCATTGGGATTAACTAACGGCCTGTTTTCTAGTTTCTCATCCCTTAACTGAACAAGTCAGGTGTGGGAGCCAAGTTTCGCACAGCAAATCCCTGGCATTTCCAGATTTAACAATTGCTGTTCTAACTTTCTATAGCCAATCTGGGATGACCATGACATGCAGCAAGTTGTTACTTTGCTGACATTCAGCTATGAATGATGTCAGCTAGAGGTCTATGGGGTGGGACGTAGTCCCCCTGCTATGAGTGAGCCCAGTAGTTGGCCAGCAGGACACAGCTTAGCACCGCTTTGACACTGGACAGCGATGGCACCTGAAAGGGTTTCTTTGTGCAGATAAATCTTTGCTAAAGGGCAGTTCACTTTCGTGGGAGGCCATGCACAGAAAGCACAGCATTCCACAAGAAACATGCTTGAAAGACAGCACTAGCTCACACAGACATCTCCAAATCCTGAATCAGAATTCTCCGAGGGACTCCTGAATGGCCAGGCTGGCTGTATTTCTGCTGTAACCACAGATCCCCATGGGCAAGGTGCTCTTGATAAATCTTGCTTGCTGAGCAGGTGGAGGAATGAATAGAATGATCTAGAATGATTAGGTGCCAATTACAATCCAAGCATATTGGTGCCTCAGGGGCATACTACATGCAACCCAGAAATAGAAGGTGGTTGTCATGTTTTAAATCTTTCAGAGAAGGGGCCTCCATAGCTTTCCGTGACTCCCCACGGTAGAGTAATAGTCTTCACCCTTAGGTCTCAGAACTAAATCCCTTAGGCTTTACTGACAAGAGTTAGCTGTGTTGCAAGCAGTTCGGTCTGGATCTAGGATCTGCCTTTGGATCTGGGCTTATTAGTATCTCTGGCACTGACCATCTTTGCAATCTTGAGGAAAGCTGCAAGGCTTGACCCCTGTCTGGGCCTCAGTTTCCCGGTGTGGAAAATGAGGGAGCCAAGATTTATATTGCTAAGTTCCCTTCCAACCATCTGTGACTCTGCAGAAGTTCTGTGCTCTGTGATTCTGGTTCCTCTTATTTAAGCTTCAGAGCAGGCCAAAACATTCTGGCCAAACCTTGTAGACACAGATCTGGGTGATTCTACATATAGGAGAAAATTTTCTAGAAGCCACAGGTGCATCACGCTAATATACCAAGACTCGCCCTTCTCTCTGCAGCCTGGAATGTTAGCCTTTCCCCGAACCATGCACCCACCCTGTCTCTTCCTAAGCTCTCTAGTTCTCCACCTCTATGTCCCCTGCAGCCTCCTCTGCCACACCTCCACCCCCACCATACCTGGTTATAGGTACAGTTCTTCTTCTTGCATTTGCTGCATTGGAAGAGGTCAGTGGTGGTGCCACCTGTCTTGGCCATCTGGTGCTCACGGATAGCCTCCTGGGTCATGGCATTCCTCAGTTCCCTTAGCTCATCACTGGCCATTTCCTGGAGAGAGAGGAGTCTGCCCTTCAGGGCCTGGGAGCCCCAGGAGCCCTGCCCCATACTCAGTTTCTAGAGAGCCTAAACAGAGGAGGGAGGGAACATGCTGGATTGAGCCCAAGGAGCTGGGGGGAAGGCCTGGACTCTTGGCTCTGCCCAGTTGGGAAAAGGACACAACACAGGGTTTCCATTCCACCTTTGGGTGGAAGGGCAAACCTGGGGGCTCTGAGTGGGCAGCAGGGTGTGGTGTGTGCAGGAGAGCAGAAGCAGTTTCCACTCCAGGATCACCACTCTTCTGTACCTTTCCTCGGATCTGGTGCTTGCCCTGCCTGCCAGGCCCTCGGCTAACTGCTGGACCCTTCCTGAGGAGCTGAGTTGACCACTGACCACCTGATCTGGGATGTTCTCCATATCTTTCCAGTCTGGACTTCACCCAGTGCCTGTCCAACCTGTGATCACTGCCCAGTCCATTCTGCCTGTGGGAACCTTGCTCTCAACTACCCACGGCTCGTTGCTGCTACCCCCACCCAAGTGAAACCTGAAGCTCCTGGATTCACACAACTAACTGATCACCTGTGAATGTATCATAGAACACCTTTTTCTTTAAGTGCCTATGGAACAAAGTCTCCAGTCTCCCATCAGCTCACTGAAGACATTCAGTGTTTGCACTGTCCAGTTCCCTTCTTCAACCATCTTGCTGGCCATTTGACTCCGCTTAAATCTCTGCGGGAGGAGGGTGGAGACGGACACTCAAACCAGAGAGAGCTCCAGTTAAGGTTGGTTTGGGGGAAGGAAGACGGCTGAAGCTAAAGTTAAAATGAGGCCTTGGTACTGGCTAAGCATTTCCATTGCTGCTATCTATCCTGACTCCATAAACCGTGGAGAACAGAGTTGTCACAGAAGTCAAATGATATTAGTGTGTTGACTACTTCATTGTAACCACTTGGGCCTCTTTATAAAATGCAGATTCTTATGGATCCAAAACTCTAAGGGCAGGCCCAGGAGTATGTGTTTTTACTAGGGCCCCCAAGTTATTCTGGTGCCTACAAATGTTTAAGCCCTACTGTGTTAAATTCAAGGACTAAGTCCTATAAACAAGGGCAGGGACATATAGGAAAGTCAACCCAGGGCCATATAAGCAAAAAGTAGCTGACTTTAATTTGGGGGGATATCCACAGCATAGTGCATTTGTTTACTCAAAATATACTGGATGTCAGTTTATTGAATGCCTTTAACTGCATTCATGTGCAGGTAAACCGGCTTTGGCTGTAGGGCATGGACAATGTCCATGGTGTAAATACTCCCACCACAGACAGTTTCAAGCCACTAATGTTGTATAGCTGGATGCGTTGGGAAGAGCTACACTTCATCCTCTCTTGAGCTGGTAGGAGCTGGTTCCAACCTGAGCATTGCCTCCAAACCCTCAGGGTTCAGGTATGAGGATGTGGTTCCTGTCCTGAGGCCATGCCAGTCGGGGAGAGTAGTCAAGCATTTACACAAGATTGCAAGATAGCCTATGAGTTACCAAAGCTAAGCAATAAAAAGCACAGGGAAAAGCCTGGAAAATGGTGGCTAACTGCCTGGGGGCAGCGGAGGCTCATTAAAGAAGCTAACACCTTAACCGGTCCTGAAAGATAAGCAGGAGTTCCCCAAACAGATGGCACATTCTAAAAGAAAACAGTAAACACAAAAAGATCAGATGTTTGGGGAAGGGTGGTGAGGACTACAGGAGGCCTGGCTGGAGGACCGACTGGAAAGAGGGTCTTTTGTGCCAGCTAAGAAATGGACAACAGAAAAAAATCTATCCATACACTCACCAATCCATTTACCTATCTCTGCCTACCTCATCTAGAAGAAGACAGAATCAAAGACAGATGGAGTAAATACAGTAATACAGAAAGTAAGGTAGAAAATGAAGGAAATAAGGGTAGGAGATGACACTAGTCCTCCTGTGACACTGTTAGAGGAGGGCCCCAGTGTGAATTTGGTAAATATTTGTGGAGCACTATGACATGCCAGGCACAGGTCTCAATGCTGAGTGAACAGTGAACAGACAAAATGCCTCTCCTTGTGGGGCTGACAATAGGTCCACTCAACAGCTTGAATAGCTATGTCAGAATCAACTCCGTTGTTTGATTTGTCTAAGAGGGAAAAGAGAAGGAAGAATGAGAGCATCAGGGGAACAAAGAAAGAGACACAAAAGGGAGTTAGGGGACATGGATGGAGCTAGAGGGTATTATGCTCAGTGAAATAAGCCAGGCGGAGAAAGATAAGTACCGAATGATTTCACTCATATGTGGAGTATGAGAGCAAAGAAAAACAGAAGGAACAAAACAGCAGCAGAAGCACAGAACCCAAGAATGGACTAACAGTTACCAAAGGGATGTTTTTCTTGCCCTCCGTGGATCACGGGAGGCTGATTCCATCTGCGCTCAGATGACAGACTTGCCCATCCTGTGATAACATGTGGGCTGCCCCTCCACCTGACTGGGTATCTTCCAAAATGAAAACATGCACAGGTTCTCCCGCACCCCACCTCCCCGACAACAACCCACCCTCTCTCTAGCTCTGCAGACCTGCTGTCCGCAGGCTGGTAAGCATCCCACACAGAAGGCCCTTTCTTGGCTGTGGGTAACTACTCCTTATGTGGGGCAGCATCTGTGGATGCCAGGGGAGGGAGAAAGATGTAGACATACAGACCTTCCAGCGATTGCCACATTCATTGCATAAGACAAAGGTGGTCATGGGCTCATCAGCACTGCGTGTCTGCACCTGCGAGAAACAGGGGACCACTCATGAAATCACTCCCCCGCTGTGGGACCTGCCTGAGCTCCCACTAACCAGGAGTAGGTCTGAATCCTGGAGCTTGGCACCGTTATTCCCACCCCACTTTGGCAATTCCCTCACCACTAAGAACTCTGCAGTGTATCCTTTCCTCTCCTTGCACATCCTTCAGCTCATTTCCGTTATTCCTGGCTTAGTCTGGCCTCTACACGTTCTCCCTTGTGGTTAATGCCCCTGAACTGATCTCTCTTTTCTTGCCTCAAGACTCATCTCCAACAGGAAGTATTCCCTGACTCATCTCTGAACACACCCTATTGGATGTGATTCACAGAGCAGAACTTGGGTGTGCGGGATGCACCCTTAGAGATCATTGAGTTCATTCCTTAGTTTATAGATGGAAGAATTGAGGCCCAGAGAGGGAGAGGGATTGGGAGATCATTGGGATTAACTAACGGCCTGTTTTCTAGTTTCTCATCCCTTAACTGAACAAGTCAGGTGTGGGAGCCAAGTTTCGCACAGCAAATCCCTGGCATTTCCAGATTTAACAATTGCTGTTCTAACTTTCTATAGCCAATCTGGGATGACCATGACATGCAGCAAGTTGTTACTTTGCTGACATTCAGCTATGAATGATGTCAGCTAGAGGTCTATGGGGTGGGACGTAGTCCCCCTGCTATGAGTGAGCCCAGTAGTTGGCCAGCAGGACACAGCTTAGCACCGCTTTGACACTGGACAGCGATGGCACCTGAAGGGGTTTCTTTGTGCAGATAAATCTTTGCTAAAGGGCAGTTCACTTTCGTGGGAGGCCATGCACAGAAAGCACAGCATTCCACAAGAAACATGCTTGAAAGACAGCACTAGCTCACACAGACATCTCCAAATCCTGAATCAGAATTCTCCGAGGGACTCCTGAATGGCCAGGCTGGCTGTATTTCTGCTGTAACCACAGAT